CTCACCCTAACTGGCCCTTTGGGATATTGAGGTTTTTTTTTTAATAAACCTCAAATCCTCACCCTAACTGGCCCTTCGGGATATTGAGGGTTTTTTAAATAAACCTCAAATCCTCACCCTAACTGGCCCTTCGGGATATTGAGGTTTTTTATAATAAACCTCAAATCCTCACCCTAACTGGCCCTTCGGGATATTGAGTTTTTTTTTTAAATTAACCTCAAATCCTCACCCTAACTGGCCCTTCGGGATATTGAGGTTTTTTTTTAAATAAACCTCAAATCCTCACCCTTACTGGCCCTTCGGGATATTGAGGTTTTTTTAAAAAATAAACCTCAAATTCTCACCCTAACTGGCCCTTCGGGATATTGAGGTTTTTTTTTAAAACCTCACATTCTCACCCTAACTGGCCCTTTGGGATATTGAGGGTTTTTTTTAATAAACCTCAAATTCTCACCCAAACTGGCCCTTCGGGATATTGAGGTGTTTTAAATAAACCTCAAATCCTCACCCTAACTGGCCCTTTGGGATATTGAGGTTTAATAAACCTCAAATCCTCACCCTAACTGGCCCTTCGGGATATTGAGGCATTTTTTTTTCAATTGAAACCTTATCAAACCTAATTGTTTTAAACATCGTCTTCCCACCCATGCGCGTGCACACAGAGAGAGAGCGAGCGAGCGGCTTTGCCACAAATTAACCACCAATAAATAAAGAACAAAAAAAATGCCTCGCCAATCTCGGCAAGGAGCACAAAACATCGTGGCACGAACTCCGGTCAGGCATCCTGGAGCGGTGGGTGGGTGGGGGGGCTTCTGGCCTAACCATCCGAATACGAAGCGCTTTGCGCGGCCGTCTGGAACGCTCTTCCGAGATGAGGAAGCCAACCGGGAGCCGTGCGATTTTTTAAAATCGTCATCTATAGATTGACAAACTCAAACTTCTTTTAGAACTGCGTTCAGTTGGCCCATTCCTTGCACCGCATCTCCCGATGAGCAATTGGCCGCTACGTAAGCGAGTGAAAGAAGTTCAAAACACGCTACGCCACAACGAACTCGAGTTTCTTTCGAGCCGACGTTTGTGCGTTTTAAGTTCGTCAGCCCTTCCCACCACACCTCCCGATTGGCTACGTGCGGCGTCAACGACCTCGCCAAATTTCCCGACAATAATTTAGTTTGCATGTTCACAAGTACCGTGTGGTGCATGCGGTGCACAATCCTTCGCAAACGGTATCTGTTCGGCGTTTTTAGCAGCTTAACACAACAACTCCCGTTTTTATTGCCAGAGAGGGGTAAAACCTCTTCTCATACCTCGCCTGCGTATGCATGCATGGGTTCGATCCCGACCCCCGACGCCTGCTGTTGTGTATGTGGAGTTTGCGCGTCTCTTTCTCACCACCATCACAAGTGGCTGAGATGTTAACTACCTCGCCTGGTATACGGGAGGTCGTGGCTTCGATCCCGACGCCTGCTGTTGTGTATGTCGAGTTTGCGTGTCTCTTTCTCACCACCATCACCAGTGGCTGAGATGTTAACTACCTCGCTTAGTATACAAGAGGCCGTGGGTTCGATCCCGACTCCGACGCCTGCTGTTGTGTATGTGGAGTTTGCGTGTCTCTCTCACCACCATCACCAGTGGCTGAGATGTTAACTACCTCGCCTGGTGTATAGGCCGTGGGTTCCATCCCAACGCCTGACCCCTGCTGTTGTGTATGTGGAGTTTGCGTGTCTTTCTCACCACCATCACCAGTGGGTGAGATGTTAACTACCTCGCTTGGTATACAGGTCGTGACTTCGATCCCGACCCCGACGCCTGCTGTTGTGTATGTGGAGTTTGCGTGTCTCTTTCTCACCACCATCACCAGTGGCTGAGATGTTAACTACCTCGCCTGGTATACAGGTCATGGGTTCGATCCAGACCCCTGCCGTGTATGTCGAGTTTGCGTGTCTATCATCATCACCACAGTGGCTGAGATGTTAACTACCTCGCTTGGTATACAGGAGGTCGTGGGTTCGATCCAAACCCCTGCTGTTGTGTATGTGGAGTTTGCGTGTCTCTCATCATCATCATCACGGTGGCTAGATGTTAACTACCTCGCTCGGTATACAGGAGGTCGTGGGTTCGATCCAAACCCCTGCTGTTGTTTGTCGAGTTTGAGTGTCTCTCATCATCATCACGGTGGCTAGATGTTAACGACCTCGCCTGGTATACAGGTCGTGGGTTCAATCCAGACTCCTGCTGTGTATGTCAAGTTTGCGTCTCTCTCATCACCACGGTGGCTGATGTTAACTACCTCGCCTGCTATACAGGTCGTGGGTTCGATCCAGACCCCTGCTGTTGTGGAGTTTGCTTGTCTATCATCATCATGGAAACTGAGATGTTAACTACCTCGCCGGGTATACAGGAGGTCGTGGGTTCGATCCAGACCCCTGCTGTTGTGTATGTCGAGTTTGCACGTCTCTTTCTCACCACCATCACCAGTGGCTGAGATGTTAACTACTTCGCCTGGTATACAGGAGGTCGTGGGTTCGATCCCGACGCCTGACCCCTGCGGTTGTGTGTCGAGTTTGCGTGTCTCTTTCTCGCCACCATCACCTGTGGCTGAGATGTTAACTACCTCGCCTGGTATACAGGTCGTGGGTTCAATCCCGACCCCGACGCCTGCTGTTGTGTTTGTGGAGTTTGCGTGTCTCTCATCATCACGGTGGCTATGAGATGTTAACTACCTCGCCTACTATACAGGTCGTGGGTTCGATCCAGACCGCTGCTGTGTATGTCGAGTTTGCGTGTCTATCATCACCACAGTGGCTGAGATGTTAACTACCTCGCTTGGTATACAGGAGATCGTGGGTTCGATCCAAACCCCTGCTGTTGTGTATGTGGAGTTTGCGTGTCTCTCATCATCATCATCACGGTGGCTAGATGTTAACTACCTCGCTCGGTATACAGGAGGTCGTGGGTTCGATCCAAACCCCTGCTGTTGTTTGTCGAGTTTGCGTGTCTCTCATCATCATCACGGTGGCTAGATGTTAACGACCTCGCCTGGTATACAGGTCGTGGGTTCGATCCAGACTCCTGCTGTGTATGTCAAGTTTGCGTCTCTCTCATCACCACGGTGGCTGATGTTAACTACCTCGCCTGCTATACAGGTCGTGGGTTCGATCCAGACTCCTGCTGTTGTGGAGTTTGCGTGTCTATCATCATGGTGGCTGAGATGTTAACTACTTCGCCTGGTATACAGGAGGTCGTGGCTTCGATCCCGACGCCTGACCCCTGCGGTTGTGTGTCGAGTTTGCGTGTCTCTTTCTCACCACCATCACCTGTGGCTGAGATGTTAACTACCTCGCCTGGTATACAGGTCGTGGCTTCGATCCCGACTCCGACGCCTGCTGTTGTATGTGGAGTTTGCGTGTCTCTCATCACCACCATCATCACGGTGGCTGAGATGTTAACTACCTCGCTTGGTATACAGGTCGTGGCTTCGATCCCGACTCCGACGCCTGCTGTTGTGTATGTGGAGTTTGCGTGTCTCTCATCACCACCATCATCACGGTGGCTGAGATGTTAACTACCTCGCTTGGTATACAGAAGGTCGTGGGTTCAATCCCGACCCCGACGCCTGCTGTTGTGTTTGTGGAGTTTGCGTGTCTCTCATCATCACGGTGGCTAGATGTTAACTACCTCGCCTGGTATACAGGTCGTGGGTTCGATCCAAACCCCTGCTGTTGTGTATGTGGAGTTTGCGTGTCTCTCATCATCACGGTGGCTAGATGTTAACTACCTCGCTCGGTATACAGGAGGTCGTGGGTTCGATCCAAACCCCTGCTGTTGTTTGTCGAGTTTGCGTGTCTCTCATAATCATCACGGTGGCTAGATGTTAACGACCTCGCCTGGTATACAGGTCGTGGGTTCGATCCAGACTCCTGCTGTGTATGTCAAGTTTGCGTCTCTCTCATCACCACGGTGGCTGATGTTAACTACCTCGCCTGCTATACAGGTTGTGGGTTCGATCCAGACCCCTGCTGTTGTGGAGTTTGCTTGTCTATCATCATGGAGACTGAGATGTTAACTACCTCGCCCGGTATACAGGTCCTGGGTTCGATCCAGACCCCTGCTGTTGTGTCGAGTTTGCGCGTCTCTTTCTCACCACCGTCACCAGTGGCTGAGATGTTAACTACCTCGCTTGGTATACAGGTCATGGGTTCGATCCCGACCCCGACGCCTGCTGTTGTATATGGAGTTTGCGTGTCTCTTTCTCACCACCATCACCAGTGGCTGAGATGTTAACTACCTCGCTTGGTATACAGGTCATGGGTTCGATCCCGACCCCGACGCCTGCTGTTGTATATGGAGTTTGCGTGTCTCTTTCTCACCACCATCACCAGTGGCTGAGATGTTAACTACCTCGCTTGGTATACAGGACATTGGTTCGATCCCGACGCCTGCTGTTGTGCATGTCGAGTTTGCGTGTCTCTTTCTCACCATCACCAGTGGCTTAGATGCTACCTCGCCTGGTATACAGGACCTGGGTTCGATCCCGACCCCAACGCCTGCTGTTGTGTACGTGGAGCTTGTGCGTCTCTCATCATAATCACCACGGTGGCTGAGATGTTAACTACCTCACCTGCTATACAGGTCGTGGGTTCGATTCCGTTTGCACGTCTCTGTGCATTTCTCTCCGGGTCCCCAGGTTTTAACCTCCACCCCCCCCACACATTTAGAAGAATCGCGCGTTTCAAGAGGCTTTGGCTGCCGCTAGAAAGTTCCCCGCGGCGATGATGATGGTGGCTCGGTCGGAGCTATCATTTGTGACGGCCGGGGGTCGCCCGCTTCTGAAATAAAGAGCCGCATATAAATATACAGCTCAGGGGGCCTTAACCCGCTGAAATAAACACCTCGAGTCCACAAACAAGACGACTCACGATCCGAATTTCCCGCGGCAGCCACGCTGCGCAAGGCACGAGAGACAGAGAGACAGACAGACAGAGAGACAGAGAGAGCCATTTTGGGTTTTTTTTGCCAACGCTGTGGGAGTTTTTATTGAGGCGTGACGACGGCAGCGGTGCCGGTGGTGTCGGTGCGGCGCGGTTGAGGGGCGGTCGCTGTCCACCGCCAACTCTTCCTCCTCCTCCTCCTCCTCGTCTACTTCTTCTTGGAGACACCCACGGTGCGGCCTCGTCGCCCCGTCGTCTTGGTGTGCTGTCCACGCACACGCAGGCTGCACAACGCGCACAACGGACACACGCAACGGACACGCACACACACAACGGGGACACACGCACACACACAACGGACACACACACACACAACGGAGACACGCAACGGACACGCACACACACACAACGGGGACACACAACGGGGACACACGCGCACACACAACGGACACACACACACAATGGACACACAACGGGGACACACGCACACACACAACAGACACACACGCACGCACAACGGATACACACACAACGGACACACGCGCAGGTAAATATCCTCCTCCTCCCGCACCCCGGTGTAGCTTTCGCAGACTGTACGCAGAAAGTATCCTCCTTTAGTGGCGACGGGCAGCACACCTACCAAGTCCGGCACCGTTGGCAAGCATGAGGGGGGTTCGGGTGGGCCAACATCACGCCCGGCCACAGCGCACGCGCACACTCGCACACACACACACATATACTCTCACTCTCTCACATACACTCTCACACACACATATACTCACACACACACTCTCACCCACACACACACACTCTCCCACACACACTCATACACTCACACACTCTCCCACACACACACTCATACACTCACACACTCTCCCACACACACACACATAAACTCTCACACATACACTCACACATATACTCTCACTCTCACACATACACTCTCACACACAGATACTCACACACACACACATACTCTCACTCTCACACACACACACATACTCTCACACACACATATACTCTCTCACACACACACACTCATATACTCTCTCACACACACACACACACTCATATACTCTCTCACACACACACACTCATATACTCTCTCACACACACACACTCACACATACACATATACTCTCACACATACTGTTGGGGCAAGTCCTTTTCGGGAGCACCTATGAAGACCGGCACGGCACACGAAGGGGGTGCGCCCAACACCACACCCGACCACAGCGCACGTGCGTACACACTCGCACACACTCACTCACACACACTCGCTCTCGCACTCGCTCTCGCACACACAATCACACACTATCACACACTATCACACACTATCACACACACAACGATCCCCCCCTCTACCCCCCCCCCCCGTAGCCTTAGACTTTTGGAGCAAGTGCTGTTAGCGGAGCAGCACCTATAAAGGCCGGAACGGTACACACACACACATACACACACTCGTACAAAGACAAAGATCTCCCGTATAACCTCAACAGGCTTGTTGGGGCAAGTGCTGTAAGTAGGCGAGTAGCAGCACCTATGAAGGCCGGCACTGTGGCAACACGAGGGGGTGGGGGTGGCCAGCACCAGGCCCGGCCACAGAGCACACTCACACACTCACGCACTCGAACATAGACACGCTCAGACAGAGGCAAAAATCCCCCATATAGCCTTCAACAGACTGTAGGGGCAAGTGCTGTTAGCGGGCGCCTATGAAGTCCGGCACGGCACACGAGGGGGTGGGTGGGCCAGCTCCACGCTCAGCCGGCATGTGTAGTGGTATTTCGAGTGTGTAGGGCGAGAGGTGAAGAGCGAGATGTAGGCTGTACTGCTGTGTGTAGGTTGCGTGGTGTACAGCAGTGTGGGTGCCGTGTAGAATGGTGCGTAGCAGGGCGCGTAAGCTGCCGTGCGGTGTAGAGTGTGGTGTAGAGCGGTGTGTCGGTGGCGTGGTGTAGAGCGGTGTGGGTGTGGGGTGTGTAGTGTGGCGTGTAGATTGTTGCGCGGTGTTGTAGTGTGGTGCACAGCAGGGTGTGTAGGCTGTCGTGCGGTGTGCAGGTTGTGTGGTGTAGTGTAGTGTACAGCAGGGTGTGTAGGCTGTAGTGCGGTGTGTAGGTTGTGTGGTGTAGAACACAGTGTGGTCTAGTGTAGTGTACAGCAGGGCGTGTAGGCTGTAGTGCGGTGTGTAGGTTGTGTGGTGTAGAAACACAGTGTGGTCTAGTGTAGTGTACAGCAGGGTGTGTAGGCTGTAGTGCGGTGTGTAGGTTGTGTGGTGTAGAACACAGTGTGGTCTAGTGTAGTGTACAGCTGGGTGTGTAGGCTGTAGTGCGGTGTGTAGGTTGTGTGGTGTAGTGTACAGCAGGGTGTGTAGGCTGTAGTGTGGTGTGTAGGTTGTGTGGTGTAGAACAGTGTGGACTAGTGTAGTGTACAGCAGGGTGTGTAGGCTGTAGTGCGGTGTGTAGGCTGTAGTGCGGTGTGTAGGTTGTGTGGTGTAGAACACAGTGTGGTCTAGTGTAGTGCACAGCAGGGTGTGTAGGCTGTAGGACGGTGTGTAGGTTGTGTGGTGTAGAACACAGTGTGGTCTAGTGTAGTGTGCAGCAGGGTGTGTAGGCTGTAGTGCGGTGTGTAGGTTGTGTGGTGTAGAAACACAGTGTGGTCTAGTGTAGTGTACAGCAGGGCGTGTAGGCTGTAGTGCGGTGTGTAGGTTGTGTGGTGTAGAAACACAGTGTGGTCTAGTGTAGTGTACAGCAGGGTGTGTAGGCTGTAGTGCGGTGTGTAGGTTGTGTGGTGTAGAACACAGTGTGGTCTAGTGTAGTGTACAGCTGGGTGTGTAGGCTGTAGTGCGGTGTGTAGGTTGTGTGGTGTAGAACACAGTGTGGTCTAGTGTAGTGCACAGCAGGGTGTGTAGGCTGTAGGACGGTGTGTAGGTTGTGTGGTGTAGAACACAGTGTGGTCTAGTGTAGTGTGCAGCAGGGTGTGTAGGCTGTAGTGCGGTGTGTAGGTTGTGTGGTGTAGAAACACAGTGTGGTCTAGTGTAGTGTACAGCAGGGTGTGTAGGCTGTAGTGCGGTGTGTAGGTTGTGTGGTGTAGAACACAGTGTGGTCTAGTGTAGTGTACAGCTGGGTGTGTAGGCTGTAGTGCGGTGTGTAGGTTGTGTGGTGTAGTGTACAGCAGGGTGTGTAGGCTGTAGTGCGGTGTGTAGGTTGTGGTGTAGAACAGTGTGGTCTAGTGTAGTGCACAGCAGGGTGTGTAGGCTGTAGGACGGTGTGTAGGTTGTGTGGTGTAGAACACAGTGTGGTCTAGTGTAGTGTACAGCAGGGTGTGTAGGCTGTAGTGCGGTGTGTAGGTTGTGTGGTGTAGAACACAGTGTGGTCTAGTGTAGTGTACAGCTGGGTGTGTAGGCTGTAGTGCGGTGTGTAGGTTGTGTGGTGTAGTGTAGTGTACAGCAGGGTGTGTAGGCTGTAGTGCGGTGTGTAGGTTGTGGTGTAGAACAGTGTGGTCTAGTGTAGTGCACAGCAGGGTGTGTAGGCTGTAGGACGGTGTGTAGGTTGTGTGGTGTAGAACACAGTGTGGTCTAGTGTAGTGTACAGCAGGGTGTGTAGGCTGTAGTGCGGTGTGTAGGTTGTGTGGTGTAGAACACAGTGTGGTTTAGTGTAGTGTACAGCAGGGTGTGTAGGCTGTAGTGCGGTGTGTAGGTTGTGTGGTGTAGAACAGTGTGGTCTAGTGTAGTGTACAGCAGGGTGTGTAGGCTGTAGTGCGGTGTGTAAGGTTGTGTGGTGTAGAACACAGTGTGGTCCAGTGTAGTGTACAGCTGGGTGTGTAGGCTGTAGTGTGGTGTGTAGGCTGTGTGGTGTAGAACACAGTGTGGTCTAGTGTAGTGTACAGCAGGGTGTGTAGGCTGTAGTGCGGTGTGTAGGTTGTGTGGTGTAGAACACAGTGTGGTCTAGTGTGGTGTACAGCAGGGTGTGTAGGCTGTAGTGTGGTGTGTAGGCTGTAGTGCGGTGTGTAGGTTGTGTGGTGTAGAACGCAGTGTGGTCTAGTGTAGTGTACAGCAGGGTGTGTAGGCTGTAGTGCGGTGTGTAGGTTGTGTGGTGTAGAACACAGTGTGGTCTAGTGTGGTGTACAGCAGGGTGTGTAGGCTGTAGTGTGGTGTGTAGACTGTAGTGCGGTGTGTAGGTTGTGTGGTGTAGAACAGTGTGGACTAGTGTAGTGTACAGCAGGGTGTGTAGGCTGTAGTGCGGTGTGTAGGCTGTAGTGCGGTGTGTAGGTTGTGTGGTGTAGAACACAGTGTGGTATAGTGTAGTGCACAGCAGGGTGTGTAGGCTGTAGTGCGGTGTGTAGGTTGTGTGGTGTAGAACACAGTGTGTTCTAGTGTAGTGTCCAGCAGGGTGTGTAGGCTGTAGTGCAGTGTGTAGGTTGTGGTCTAGTGTAGTGTACAGCAGGGTGTGTAGGCTGTAGTGCGGTGTGTAGGCTGTAGTGCGGTGTGTAGGTTGTGTGGTGTAGAACACAGTGTGGTCTAGTGTAGTGTACAGCAGGGTGTGTAGGCTGTAGTGCGGTGTGTAGGTTGTGTGGTGTAGAACACAGTGTGGTCTAGTGCACAGCAGGGTGTGTAGGCTGTAGTGTGGTGTGTAGGCTGTAGTGTGGTCGTGCTGTCTCACCCCCAGTAGTGACGCAGGCCCCGGTGAGCACGGATCTTCTTTAACCGCTCAAGATCCTCGCGCATCTTGTTGTCGAGCCCGTTAGCCAGCACCTAGCAACATTACCACCACCACACAGCCTGTTAGCCAGCACCTAGCAACATTACCACCACCACCACACACAGCCTGTTAGCCAGCACATAGCAACATTACCACCACCACCACACAGCCTGTTAGCCAGCACCTAGCAACATTACCACCACCACACACCTGTTAGCCAGCACCTAGCAACATTACCACCACACACACAGCCTGTTAGCCAGCACCTAGCAACATTACCACCACCACACAGCCTGTGAGACAGCACCTAGCAACATTACCACCACACGCACACAGCCTGTTAGCCAGCACCTAGCAACATTACCACCACCACCACCACCACACAGCCTGTTAGCCAGTACCTAGCAACATGACCACCACACACAGCCTGTTAGCCAGCACCTAGCAACATTACCACCACACACAGCCTGTTAGCCAGCACCTAGCAACATTACCACCACCACCACCACACACAGCCTGTTAGCCAGCACCTAGCAACATTACCACCATCACCACACAGCCTGTTAACCAGCATCTAGAAACATTACCACCACCACACAGCGTGTTAGCCAGCACCTAGCAACATTACCACCACCACACACAGCCTGTTAGCTAGCACCTAGCAACATTACCACCACCACACACAACCTGTTAGCTAGCACCTAGCAACATTACCACCACCACACAGCCTGTTAGCTAGCACCTAGCAACATTACCACAACCACCACCACACAGCGTGTTAGCCAGCACCTAGCAACATTACCACCACCACCACACAGCCTGTTAGCCAGCACCTAGCAACATTACCACCACCACCACACACAACCTGTTAGCTAGCACCTAGCAACATTACCACCACACACAGCCTGTTAGCCAGCACCTAGCAACATTACCACCACCACCACACAGCCTGTTAGCTAGCACCTAGCAACATTACCACCACCACCACCACACAGCCCGTTATCCAGCACCTAGCAACATTACCACCACCACCACCACACAGCCTGTTAGACAGCACCTAGCAACATTACCACCACCACCACCACACAGCCTGTTAGCCAGTACCTAGCAACATTACCACCACCACCACCACACAGCGTGTTAGCCAGCACCTAGCAATATTACCACCACCACACACAGCCTGTTAGCCAGCACCTAGCAACATTACCACCACCACCACCACACAGCGTGTTAGCCAGCACCTAGCAACATTACCACCACCACCACCACACAGCCTGTTAGCCAGCACCTAGCAACATTACCACCACCACCACCACAGCCTGTGAGACAGCACCTAGCAACATTACCACCACCACCACACAGCCTGTTAGCCAGCACCTAGAAACATTACCACCACCACCACAGCCCGTTAGCCAGCACCTAGCAACATTACCACCACCACCACCACCACACAGCCTGTTAGCCAGCACCTAGCAACATTACCACCACCACCACCACACAGCCTGTTAGCCAGCACCTAGCAACATTACCACCACCACACACAGCCTGTTAGCCAGCACCTAGCAACATTACCACCACCACACACAGCCCATTAGCCAGCACCTAGCAACATTACCACCACCACACACAGCCCATTAGCCAGCACCTAGCAACATCACCACCACACACAGCCCATTAGCCAGGACCCAGAAACATTACCACCACACACGACGATGTCACACAGCCCAGCAACTACCACAGGGTTGGGGTTATGGTGAGCGTGATGGTGAATATGATGGTGAGCGTGATGGTGAGACCACACAGCCCAGCAACTGCCACAGGGTTGGGGTTATGGTGATGGTGAGCGTGATGGTGAGCGTGATGGTGAGACCACACAGCCCAGCAACTGCCACAGAGTTGGGGTTATGGTGAGCGTGATGGTGAGCGTGATGGTGAGCGTGATGGTGAGCGTGAGGAGCGCTAGGGGGGTGGGGGTGTCTCTTACCTGACTGAATTTGCCATCCTTGATGTCCTTCTGCCTGTTGAGGAACCAGTCTGGGATCTTGTACTGACGAGGGTTCTGCATGATGGTGATCACGCGCTCCACCTGCACGGGGACACACAAAAGACAAAGATCCCCCTTGTAGCCTTAACAGACTGTAGGGGCAAGTGCTGTTAGCGAGCACCTATGAAGGCCAGAACGGCACACGAGGGGGTGGGTGGCCAGCACCACGCCCGGTCACCTTTGTCTCTCTAGTGGCGATGTTTACGCACCGCACCAGGTACTCATTTGACGCCGAGTCGACCTAGGGGAGGCTCAGGACCCGTTCAGATCATCGTCACTGGTGTTCACGGTGAGCGGGAATCGAACTCGGGTCGCCAGGATCGTAGCGCTAACCGCTACCCACTACCGCTCCCCCCTCGTCTCACTCACACCGCACACAACAACCGCCATCGCCACTAAGTGACGGTGACGTCACCGCTACGCCTGTGCCAGGCTAGGTGCACGTTGAGGCAGCGTGACGTGTCGAACGCCCGCCGGCAGGAGGTCACGGGGGCAGACCCAGGTGCCACGGGTCGACTTGACTGGGACGACCGGCTGATGCACCACCTGTGCTGACAATGCTGTGCTTTAGCCACCCGGCGCTCCGGTCGTTGTTGTGAGCGTCGCCACCCTCTCACACACACACACCACCCTCAGCACCCAACCCCCCCCCGGGACTCCACCACACCTCCTCCTCGCTGAGCTCGCCGGCGCGCTTGCTCAGGTCGATGTCGGCCTTGCGCAGGACGATGTGAGCATAGCGGCGCCCCACGCCCTTGATGGCCGTGATGGCAAACGCCACCTTCTGCCGACCGTCAATGTTCGTGTTGAGCACTCGCAGGATGTGCTGGAACTTCTCGGGGATGACGAGCGACTAGCGGGGGGAAGATGAGAATGGAGAGGCACCGGGTGAGACAGATGTGGGGGGGAGGGGTAGACGGGAGACATGGGAGGGAGGGGGCGATACAGGGACATAATGGAGACAGGGGGACACGCGGGGGTAAACGCGAGACATGGGGACCAGACACAGGGACATAATGGAGACATAGGGGGACACGCGGTGGTAAACGCGAGACATGGGGGGGGGGGCAGACACAGGGACATGATGGAGGCACAGGAGACAAGGTAGGTGGGACACAGATGAGACATCGAGGGACGCAGGGGTAGACACGAGACATGGGGGGGGGGGGGAGAGATACAGCATGGAGACACGAGATCACAAGAGACTGCGGAGAGACAGACGAAGAGGGGAGGTGGAGAGACACGGAGAAAAGAGGCGAGACAGAGGGGGGACACGCGATACGTGGAGGACAGAGTGGAGACATGGGGAAACCATGAGACACGGGGGAAGGGGGGGACAAGAAGACAGACGAGACACAGACATGGGGGGAGGGGGGGCGGAGGATAGACACGGGGGACACACTGGGACAGAATGGGAGACACGAGGGAGACACCAGGTGAGACGGGGGGGGGGCGCGGGGGATAGACACGGGGGACAGAATGGGAGACACGAGGGAGACACCAGGTGAGACGGGGGGGGGGAGGGGGCACTAGGGGATAGACACGAGACACGGGAGATACACTCGGACAGAATGGGAGACACGAGGCCACGTGGACCTGAGACACGTGGTGGACATGCGGACCGCGCTCTGGTGGCTACAACAAACATCGCCTCCTCTCTCCCATCACCACCACTATTATTATGCAAACATCTCTCTACCATCAACCACCAAGACCACCATCAACGTTCACCACCATCGCTACCATCACACACCGCCGCACCACCGACATCGCAATACCAATCGGCAAACGTCACCAAGACGATCACCGGTACAGCAGCTGGAATCACCGCCACTGACCTCCTCTCGCTACCATCACCACTATAACTCGATACCATCACCACCATGACCCTCAACCACCCTCACTACCATCTCCACCATCACACTCGCTACAATTACCACCATGACCCTCACTCCCATTACCCTCAACACGCTCGCTACCATAACCAACACCACCCTTGCGACCATCACCCTCAAACTCATTACCACGACCCTCAACCACCCTCGCTACCATCAACAGCATAACCATCACAACTCGCTACCATCACCACCACCATGATACTCGCCACCCTCGCTACCATCACCATCACTCTCACTACCTCCACCCTGCATGCTACCATCACTACCATCACCCTCGCTACCATCACCCTCACTACCATCACCCTCACCAACCTCGCTACCATCACCACCCTCACTACCATCACCCTCACCAACCTCGCTACCATCACCACCCTCACTACCATCACCCTCAGCACCATCACCCTCACTACCATCACCCTCACTACCATCACTCTCCTCGCTACCATCACCCTCAGCACCATCACTCCTCGCTACCATCACCCTCACTACCATCACCCTCAGCACCATCACTCCTCGCTACCATCACCCTCACTACCATCACCCTCACTACCATCACCCTCGCCACGATCACCCTCCTCGCTACCACCGCCACCACCAACCATCGCAATCCCAACGCGCTAGGCCCGCCCCGTCTCCTGCCCGCTTGATATCTCGCACACCGCCGCACGGCGCCCTCATTTCTCGCCAAAACGCCCCCCACGCCGTCGTCGACGTCGCGAGCGACCGAGAGCGCCACGGCGCCGCGGATGGAAGTGGACGGAGGGCGAGGATGGACGAGGATTGCGTTGAGCGAGGATGAGGCAGCAGTGGCATCCACTCACCATGATGGCGGCGGGCTGAGAGAGAGAGGAGGGGGGGGAAGGAACCGGAAGTGGCGCGTGAGCGCGGGCTGGGCGGAAGAATGCGTCACGCCGCACAATTAACATAAAAGGCGGGAAAATATGTAACAAATTTACATTATATATTCTTGGTTCTTTCGGTAAAGTCACGTAGAAGGGAAACAATAAAATAATAAAATTTACATTGTTAATTAAATCATGTTAAATCTTGATTTGAAGCTTTCGTGACTGCAGGAATCCATACTCTTTGGTTCTTTCGGTAAAGTCACGTAGGCATAAAATAAAATTAAATGTTTAGTTTATTTATTTTTATATTTATATTATTTATATTTATTTATATTTATTTAAAAATAAATATAAATAAAATGAAATAAATCATTTTTATAATTTCATTTTAGACCTACGTGACTTTACCGAAAGAACCAAAGAGTATAATCTTTAATGTTTATTATTTGTTATTACTGGAAGTGCAAGTCGTGTATTGGGAAGGTTAACAAATCGCTTTTTAAAAATGTATAATTTTTACAAAATTGTTAATTTCGACTGGAGAAATCCGATGAGCTATCAAGCTCTTTCACAGATGTTCAGTATGGGCGTGGCGGGGGGGGGGCAATAGGATCAGAAATTCACAACAATTAATTACGAAAAAATAAACACGATAGTAGTGCAAAGTTATGGGAAAAGGTAAACAAATCACTTATAAAAAATATAAGTACAGAATCATCATAATTGATGTTGAGTGGAGAAATCCGATGAGCTCTAAAGCTCTTTGATTGTCACGGACGGCCAAGTAAGTGGACGGCAGGCGATCAGCAAGTCACAATAAATAATTACCACAATAATAACAAACACGGAGTGTAAAAAAAGAACGAGAGGAATGGCGAGCAAGTAATTGAAAGTTAATAGATTTAAAAAATAATAATAAAGAATAAGTAAAAATCTTCTTATTCTTTGACTTTACCGAAAGAACCAAAGTATAAATCTTCTTTGGTTCTTTCGGTAAAGTCACCACCGCGTAGAATGAGAATAAAATAATAAATCAATAAAATAAAATAACACGATAAAATTCTCACGACGTTTCGGCCACAACACAAGTGGCCTTCATCAGGTGAAGGGACGAGACTGTCTTATATTTATTTTATTTATTTTAAAATAAATATAAATAAAATAAAAAACATTTTATTTTATACCTACGTGACTTTACCGAAAGAACCAATCTTTAATATTTATTATGTTTATTATTTGTTATTACTGGAAGTGCAAGTCGTGTATCGGGAAGGTTAACAAATCGTCCCTTCACCTGATGAAGGCCGCTTGCGTTGTGGCCGAAACGTCGTGAGAATTTTATTGTGTTATTTAATTTTATTAATTTATTATTTTATTCTCATTCTACGTGGTGGTGACTTTACCGAAAGAACCAAAGAAGATGAATCCTTGCCGTCACGAAAGCTTTAAATCGAAATAAGTGTAAAGTTATGGTGACGTAAATTCCTGCAGGTCTATTATCGTGGCAACGCCTAGCCCCACCCCCACCCCGCACCCCCCACTTCACCCCGCCCCCCACTCCGGCCCCCCAACACCACCCCGGACACCCCCACTCCCCCCACTTCACCCCGCCCCCCACTCCGGCCCCCCACACCACTCCGGTTTCCCCCCCCACCACTTCACCCCGCCCCCCACTCCGGCCCCCCCACACCACCCCGCCCCCCACTCGTGAATGTTGTGGGTTTACTCTCCAACACACCGCATTGTGTGAGTGTGTTGGAGAGTGAATGTTGTGGGTTTACTCTCCAACACACTGGTGTATGTGAGTGTGTTGGAGAGTGAATGTTGTGGGTTTACTCTTCAACACACCGCTATGTGAGTGTGTTGGAGAGTGAATGTTGTGGGTTTACTCTCCAACACACCGCATTGTGTGAGTGTGTTGGAGAGTGAATGTTGTGGGTTTACTCTCCAACACACTGGTGTATGTGAGTGTGTTGGAGAGTGAATGTTGTGGGTTTACTCTTCAACACACCGCTATGTGAGTGTGTTGGAGAGTGAATGTTGTGGGTTTACTCTCCAACACACCGCATTGTGTGAGTGTGTTGGAGAGTGAATGTTGTGGGTTTACTCTCCAACACACTGGTGTATGTGAGTGTGTTGGAGAGTGAATGTTGTGGGTTTACTCTTCAACACACCGCTGTGTGAGTGTGTTGGAGAGTGAATGTTGTGGGTTTACTCTCCAATACACCACTGTGTGTGAGTGTGTTGGAGAGTGAATGTTGTGGGTTTACTCTCCAACACACCGCAATGTGTGAGTGTGTTGGAGAGTGAATGTTGTGGGTTTACTCTCCAACACACCGCAATGTGTGAGTGTGTTGGAGAGTGAATGTTGTGGGTTTACTCTCCAACACACCGCATTGTGTGAGTGTGTTGGAGAGTGAATGTTGTGGGTTTACTCTCCAACACACTGGTGTATGTGAGTGTGTTGGAGAGTGAATGTTGTGGGTTTACTCTTCAACACACCGCTGTGTGAGTGTGTTGGAGAGTGAATGTTGTGGGTTTACTCTCCAATACACCACTGTGTGTGAGTGTGTTGGAGAGTGAATGTTGTGGGTTTACTCTCCAACACACCGCAATGTGTGAGTGTGTTGGAGAGTGAATGTTGTGGGTTTACTCTTCAACACACCACTGTGTGTGAGTGTGTTGGAGAGTGAATGTTGTGGGTTTACTCTGTAGATGTTACAGTGGGTTTACTCTCCAACACACCACTGTGTGTGAGTGTGTTGGAGAGTGAATGTTGTGGGTTTACTCTCCAACACACCGCTGTGTGAGTGTGTTGGAGAGTGAATGTTGTGGGTTTACTCTCCAACACACTGCTGTGTGAGTGTGTTGGAGAGTGAATGTTGTAGATTTACTCTCCAACACACTGCTGTGTGAGTGTGTTGGAGAGTGAATGTTGTGGGTTTACTCTCCAACACACCGCTGTGTGTGAGTGTGTTGGAGAGTGAATGTTGTGGGTTTACTCTCCAACACACCTCTGTGTGTGAGTGTGTTGGGGGGTGAATGTTGTGGGTTTACTCTGTAGATGTTACAGTGGGTTTACTCTCCAACACACCACTGTGTGTGAGTGTGTTGGAGAGTGAATGTTGTGGGTTTACTCTTCAACATACCGCTGTGTGTTAGTGTGTTGGAGAGTGAATGTTGTGGGTTTACTCATCAACACACCGCTGTGTGAGTGTGTTGTAGAGTGAATGTTGTGAGTTTACTCTCCAACACACCGCTGTGTCTGAGTGTGTTGGAGAGTGAATGTTGTGGGTTTACTCTCCAACACACTGCTGTGTGAGTGTGTTGGAGAGTGAATGTTGTGGGTTTACTCTCCAACACACCGCTGTGTGAGTGTGTTGGAGAGTGAATGTTGTGGGTTTACTCTCCAACACACCGCTGTCTGTGTTGGAGAGTGAATGTTGTGGGTTTACTCTTCAACACACCGCTGTATGTGTGTTGGAGAGTGAATGTTGTGGGTTTACTCTCCAAAACACCGCTGTGTGTGTGAGTGTGTTGGAGAGTGAATGTTGTAGGTTTACTCTCCAACACACCGCTGTGTGAGTGTGTTGGAGAGTGAATGTTGTGGGTTTACTCTCCAACACATCGTTGTGTGTGTGTGTTGGAGAGTGAATGTTGTGGGTTTACTCTCCAACACACCGCTATGTGAGTGTGTTGGAGAGTGAATGTTGTGGGTTTACTCTGTAGATGTTACAGTGGGTTTACTCTCCAACACACTGCTGTGTGTGAGTGTGTTGGAGAGTGAATGTTGTGGGTTTACTCTGCAACACACCGCAATGTGTGAGTGTTGGAGAGTGAATGTTGTGGGTTTACTCTCCAACATACCGCTGTGTGAGTGTGTTGGAGAGTGAATGTTGCGGGTTTACTCTCCAACACACTGCTGTGTGAGTGTGTTGGAGAGTGAATGTTGTGGGTTTACTCTTCAACACACCGCTGTGTGAGTGTGTTGGAGAGTGAATGTTGTGGGTTTACTCTCCAACACATCGTTGTGTGTGAGTGTGTTGGAGAGTGAATGTTTTGGGTTTACTCTTCAACACACCGCTGTGTGAGTGTGTTGGAGAGTGAATGTTGTGGGCTTATTCTCCAACACACCGCTGTGTGAGTGTGTTGGAGAGTGAATGTTGTGGGTTTACTCTCCAACACACCGCTGTGTGTGAGTGTGTTGGACAGTGAATGTTGTGGGTTTACTCTTCAACACACCGCTGTGTGAGTGTGTTGGAGAGTGAATGTTGTGGGTTTACTCTCCAACACACCGCTGTGTGAGTGTGTTGGAGAGTGAATGTTGTGGGTTTACTCTCCAACACACCACTGTGTGTGAGTGTGTTGGAGAGTGAATGTTGTGGGTTTACTCTCCAACACACCGCAATGTGTGAGTGTGTTGGAGAGTGAATGTTGTGGGTTTACTCTTCAACACACCACTTTGTGTGAGTGTGTTGGAGAGTGAATGTTGTGGGTTTACTCTGTAGATGTTACAGTGGGTTTACTCTCCAACACACCACTGTGTGTGAGTGTGTTGGAGAGTGAATGTTGTGGGTTTACTCTCCAACACACCGCTGTGTGAGTGTGTTGGAGAGTGAATGTTGTGGGTTTACTCTCCAACACACTGCTGTGTGAGTGTGTTGGAGAGTGAATGTTGTAGATTTACTCTCCAACACACTGCTGTGTGAGTGTGTTGGAGAGTGAATGTTGTGGGTTTACTCTCCAACACACCGCTGTGTGTGAGTGTGTTGGAGAGTGAATGTTGTGGGTTTACTCTCCAACACACCTCTGTGTGTGTGAGTGTGTTGGGGGGTGAATGTTGTGGGTTTACTCTGTAGATGTTACAGTGGGTTTACTCTCCAACACACCACTGTGTGTGAGTGTGTTGGAGAGTGAATGTTGTGGGTTTACTCTTCAACATACCGCTGTGTGTTAGTGTGTTGGAGAGTGAATGTTGTGGGTTTACTCATCAACACACCGCTGTGTGAGTGTGTTGGAGAGTGAATATTGTGAGTTTACTCTCCAACACACTGCTGTGTCTGAGTGTGTTGGAGAGTGAATGTTGTGGGTTTACTCTCCAACACACTGCTGTGTGAGTGTGTTGGAGAG